AAGGCCTGTCAAAGTGCCAGTAACAAGTGTAGAGTATGAGTTCATATATGTGAAAAAAGTACATACATATACATATGCATATATACCCATATACATACATAGTGTGTGTTTAGGTATGTAAATGCATATAGAAGGGAAATCTGGAAGGACACACACCAAACTCTAAGCAGGGTTACCTCTGAGGATGGAACTGGGATCCCAGCAGAATGAATTTCATCTTTTATTCTATATGTTTCTGGAGTATATTACATTTGCAATAAAAAAGTTTTAATGATTTTTTAAAAAAATGTTTAAAACCAATGATATAGTCAATTTACCAAGCATCACACTCTGGCCCCAGAAAAATTAGGTGACTTAGAAAGGAGACTAATAGTTAGGATCACAAAGTTTAAATTGAGGATCTGCCTTCTACCCGATGTGTAACTCTGGGTATGTTATTAAGTTTCCCTGTGACTTAGGTTCTTCATCTGTAAAATAGGGACTGTGATACTGATAGAATCTACAGAGTGGGTCATTCTGAGGATTGAATAAGTTAACATATTTAAATAAGTTAACATAAGTTAAATAAGTTAACATAAAGTGCTTAGGTAAGTGCCGGACAATAGAACTGTTAGCTATTATTATACAGAAAAGCATAAAGAAGTGAAAAGTAATCTCATCATTAGATATATTCATATTAACTCTTAGAGGTTGAATTTCCCCTCCATTTTTTTTTTGTTATCATAGACAGTGCTGTGATGAACAAATGTAGGGGAAAAAATGGCCCATATATTTTGTAGATCCTCCAATTAAGATGTAGTATCTATTTCTCCAACCCTGAATCTGGGCTTAACCTTCTGGCTTGCTTTGCCCAATAGGGACATTAGCAAATGTACTGCAAGCAAAGACTTGGAAAAGGTTCATGTACTGGGCCTTACCCTATTTTCTGGTGCTGGGGATGTTGAGCTACCATATGAAGAAGCATGGGCTAGCTTACTGGAGAAGGAGAGACCACACAGAGACAAAGCCCAGTCATCCCAGCTGGGACCCAAACATGTAAATGAGGCCATTCAGCTAGACCACTCAGGTCCTGCTGAACTGACCCAGACCTGAAGACCACCCAGTCAACCCGCTGAACAGATAAATAATAAATGTTTGCTATTTTAATCCACAAAGTTTGGGTAGGTTTGTTATGTAGCAAAAGCTAGTACCATTCTGCCCTAGCTGGTTTGGCTCAGTGGATAGAGCGTCAGCCTGCGGACTGAAGGGTCCCGGGTTCGGTTCCGGTCAAGGGCACATGCCTGGGTTGTGAGCACGGTCCCTGGTGGGGGGCGTGCAGGAGGCAGCCGATTGGTGGTTCTCTCTCATCATTGATGTTTCCTATCTCTCCTTCTCCTTTCCTCTCTGAAATCAATAAAAATACATATTAAAAAAAAAAAAAAACCTAGTACCATCCTAAGAGGTAACCATTATTAGCAGTTTGGTGTGTATCCTTCCAGATCTTTCTCCTGTGGATAATGATTAGTTCCTGGAACAATTTCCTAGAATTAGACTTCCTGGGTCAAATAGTGTGTACACTTATATCTATTGATTTATATTGGCCAAAAAAGCATCAATTTGTAAGCCGCCAGCAATATATGAAAGTGACATATTCCTCATCTTTGTCAGCACTGAACATGGATGTTTCTTTTTTTTATCTTTAAATTCTTTATTAGTTAAGGAATTACAAATGTGTCCCTCATCCCCCCCCCCCCCCCGACTCATGCTCTCATCCCCTGTTGTCCGTGTCCATTGGTTTGGCTTATATGCATGCATACAAGTCCTTTGCTTGATCTCTTCCCCTTACCCCCACCTTCCCCTACTTTCCCTCTGGGGATTAATAGTCTGATTGCTGTTTCTCTGTCTTTGGATCTGTCCCTTGAACATGGATGTTTCTTATCTTCATGACTACTTTATCCTTGTAAATGTAACACATAACCCATTGTTCATTCCCTCTCAATTTATAATCAATGTAGAGAAAAGAAAAGATTACTCCCGTAGGAAAGAAGAACAGAAAAGAGAGAGAATAATAGAACGAGAAAATAAAGCAGGGTCAAAGATTATAAACACAGAGGAAAGAAAGTAGAATTGTAGAATCAAGCAACCTCCAAGCTTCTTGTAAATAGGATACTTAACATGTAGTCAGGAATAATTATGAGCCTAATAAATGACTTGGGTCATGAAGGAGGCATGGAAAGGAACTGTCCATTTAGGCCAAGCCTAGTGAAACTGAGAACACTATAAAAGTAGGTACAGGGTCTTTCATACATGGCTGCATTTCTCAGAGCAACTCTGAGATACGGATGACTGTTCCCATTTTACAGATGAAGAAAATGAAGGGTCAGAGCTTTCAAGTAACTTGATAAAGATCGTACAGCTGATAAAGAATTGAACCCAGATTTGAGTCCACGTCTGTCTACCTTGAAAATAGATGTGTGTCCCCTAACTCTTCCAGAGAGGATATGGCAGAAGACAAGCAACTACTTAGGAGGAAGTATATCCTTGAGCCAGACCACTTGGGTTTGAATCCCAGCTCTGCTACTAACTGTGTGACTCGGCCTCTCTGTGCCTCAGTTTTCTTCATCTGCAAAATGGCTTCATAAGTGCCATGAGGATAAATGAGTACATAGGTGTAAAGCACCTAGAACACTAGCTGGCACATAGTCAAGTGCTGTATAAACTTGCTATTTCCAGTACGGCATTGCAGCAGCCGTGGGACTATTTCTTATGAGCGTGTTGCCAGGAAGTCCTTACATAGCAGCTTTGTTTACACTCACATGGCCACGTCTTGGTGGAATTTCCCGTGGGGCAAGACCAACCCGGCTGCCATGTTTCTCTTCATCCAGGCTTGGGGGGAGAGGGAGAAGAAGTAAGTGCTGTGGCGCCACACTGTCATCAGAAAGAACATGAACAACTCCAGGCACTTGTCCCAAGTGGCCACCCCAAGTCTTTGCTGCCGCAGACCCCAGTATTCTGGAGGTGAAAGCTCCTTGCTCAGGGACCCAGACTAACCCAGAACCCACCTGCCTTCTCTACTATCTGGAAAACAGAACAGGCTTTCTACAGCCTTTCAATTTCCATTCCTACCTATAGGACACTAATTACCACAACAGCAACACGAACAGCAGGTAACACAATGGGTGCTAGTATGTGTCAGACACTGTCCTAAGCATTTCACAAGTATTGTTTCATTTGGTTCTCACAACAATCCTTTGAAAAAAGGTACTATTCTTATTTCAATGTTATAAGTGAAGAAATTCAGCCTGAATCCAGAATCTTTCATCTTAACTATGACACCGTACTGTCTCCTGTTTGAGAACATGGAGTTATGGGGTGGCAAGTGCCAAAGAAAACAACCCAGCATTTCTCAGCCTGATTCATTCGGCACCCACCTTTTCTCAGCCACAGGCGCATTCCGTGCGAGAACCATTTGCAGCAAGATGTTTGAGATTATGGATGTGCCACTTCTCAGGTCAGATTTATGTCTTGTGTTGGGGAGGAGGGTGGAGGATGACGCACTTACACACACACACACACACACACACACACACACACTGTGGTAAAAGAAAATACGAGGCACTCGGCAGGGTAGCAGACTGCAACACCTCCAGGCCTGATTAAGGAACGACAATAAGGAAGGCAGATGGCAGATGCATAGATGCCACGCTATTGCCTTTCAGTTACATAGCGCTTGGGTTGTGTGTGTTTTTTCTCTCTCTCTCCTCGTAAATCTCCCAAATAAAATGGTTTGCTTTCCTCAAGTGAGAAGTGTGAACACATCTTTTCTTTAAATATCTGTGGATGGCTGTTTTTTCCCCTGCCAATTTGTCACCATCTGTAACCCTCTCTTTGTGAGATGATCTGATGACAGCAGTTATCTTGGAGAGTAAGAGTGCAGTCTTAGAGCAACATGCAGGAGCCAGTGAGAGTGCGGGCCCTGTGGGTGTTGTATCAGTGCGTGGCGTGTGTTGGGCCGGGAGCCCTGAGCATGTACACACTGTGTGTGAGTGGGCAGTGTGTACCTTCGGCGAGCATCCTGTGTGTGTAGGGCTGTGTATGGGGCCGGGTGCTCGCCTGCGTCCTTTGGATCCATGTGCTCTCTGAGAACATCATGCGGACACCCTGTATGTGGGTCATCGCCTGCGTGCTGCTGTGTGTGTGCGGGCTGAAGAGCGGCTGTGCGCCCTGCCGGGGGAAGATGTTCCTCAATGGAGTATAATTTCTCAAAGGTGTTTAAAGGGGAGGAGGAGGGCCTGCAATCTGGGTAATTGGGCCGAGAAATAGCGGCAGAGTTTGGGCCTGGGTCAGAGGAATGTAAATGACGGGTGGCTGGTGAAAGGATGCTGCGGGGATGGGGAGGGCTGACCCTTAGGAGGAGCGGGTTCCTGCGGTTCAGGAGGGCGGCTGCTCCCGCCTCGGCGGCAGGTTCCCCAGCTCAGCGGGGCGGCCGCGGTCCCCGAGCGAGGTCTGGGCGGGCGCTCCTCCCCTCCCCCACGTCCCCGTCCCCAGGCGCAGCGCCGCGGGAGGCGGGGGGAGCCCCCCACCCCCGGCAGGCGGGGGTGGCGGCGGCCAAGTGAAGGGCTGTGGCAGCGGCTACGATGGCGCGCGGCGGTGGGGCCTGGCCGGGGTCCGAGGCCGCGGCCTGGGCGAGGGCCAGCGGCCAGGAGCCCTAAGGTGCCGCCTGCCCGGACTCCACCATGAACATCGCGCTGCAGGAGCTGGGCGGCGGCGGTAATGTGAGTTGGGGCTCCCGGCTCCAGGGGTAGAGTTGCCCCTCTCCCCACAATGGAGAGAGGGGGGCTGACAAGCAGAGGCTCTGGTGCTGGGGGGCAGGGGTCGGAAGGGCCCAGGTCACAGGTCCCGGGAGGGAAGGGGCCTCGCTGCAGGCGGGAGGCGCCCGGCCTGGTGAGAGGCGCTGGGGCTGGGCGGTGGCGAACAGCCCCATCCGCCTGACCCGGGTGGGCGCCCCGACTGTCCGGCAGATGGTGGAGTACCGACGGGTCACGCTGCGGGAAGACGTCGCACCCGAGACCCCCGTGGAGGGCGGAGCCGCCCTGGACGCTGTGGAGGTGAACCAGGGGTCCTTCCTTCCTCACCGTCCCCGCCCTGGCGGGAAGCCTGGCATACCCAGCGGCTTCTGGCTGCCCTGGAGGGTCCCCTGCACCTGCCCCCACCCACCTCCGCTCCGACTCTGGCCTCCGCGCTAGGACTATGGCGAGGCGATGCTAAGCCATGACGTTGCACAAAACAGGCTCAAGACTCAGCTCAGCCTGCCTCATTGCCTCCGTGCCCAGAGGTAACCCCAGTGGCATCTTTACTCCATGGCTCTGAAAACTGCCTGTGCCTTCACCTCCCCCCCTCTCCTCCCCGACCCCCCCCCCGGACTTCTGTGATCTCGGATCCCCCACCCCCACCCCCACCTGCAGCTGGCTAGCTGTGCCACCCTGTTCCCCAGGTGGGATTCCAGAAGAGGACAAGACACCTCTTAGGCTTGCACACCCAGCTGGAGCTGGTCTTGGCAGCGGTCTCTCTGCTGCTGGCTGCACTGCTTCTGGGCTGCGTTGTGGCCCTGGGGGTCCAGTACCACAGAGGTAGGTGGGCTCACACCGGCCCCCAGCACTCCCAGCTGTGGGGACTCTGGAGCTGACGGGCCTCTAAGATATCCTCTGGGTGGGCCACCTTCCCGGGCTTGTCTCCCTCCTCCCAACCTTCCTGCTGTCACGGCCCCTCTCAAAGCATTTGCCTTTCTCAGACCGACTGACAGCCCCCTATCCTGGCCATGTTCCCTGCCACAGACCCTTCCCACAGCACCTGCCTCACAGAGGCCTGCATTCGAGTGGCTGGGAAAATCCTGGAGACCCTTGACCGCGGGGTGAGCCCCTGTGAGGACTTTTACCAGTTCTCCTGCGGAGGCTGGATTCGGAGGAACCCCCTGCCTGACGGGCGTTCTCGCTGGAACACGTTCAATAGCCTCTGGGACCAGAACCAAGCCATCCTGAAGCACCTGCTCGGTGAGTGCACTTGTCCGGGGCCTGTGCCAAGTACCTGCTTCATGCCCAGCATAAGGCTTGGCACTCAGTAGGTACTTAATAAATGTCCATAAATGAAGAAATAACTGGGTGACTGGGAACACTCCTGGGGTAAGGGATGCAGAGAGCAGGGGCCTCCTGAAAAGTGGAGATGGGTTTCAGGGGGCAGACCTCTAAGTACAATGGAGGGACTCCTCTCTGCATCCTGCCTGGAGGGCTGCTGAGCTGTGGTAGGCACCAGGGAGCCTGTAGTGCTCAGAGATCTTGGATAGTCTTCATGGACAGGGGAGAGGAAGCCACACTTGGCTGTTTCACCCAGTCTTCCTGGGTTTGCATTAGGAGGGAAGCCCCATGATCAGAAGGCAAAAGAGGGACCAAGTAAGGGCCCGGGAACCTGCTCAGCAGTCAGCATAGTTGCCACCTGGACCTTTATTTTACTCCACAGAAAACACCACCTTCAATTCCAGCAGCGAAGCTGAGCGGAAGACACAGCGCTTCTACCTATCCTGCCTACAGGTGGAGCGCATTGAGGAGCTGGGAGCCCAGCCGCTGCGAGACCTCATTGAAAAAGTACAGCCCCTGGGTGGGCTGTGGGCAGGGAGAAGACAGGACTTGGAAGAGGGTGTGGAAGCTTTGGGAGCCCCTGTGTCATAGGTTCTACGATGGTCTCTACTCAGATTGGTGGTTGGAATGTTACGGGGCCCTGGGACCAAGACAACTTCATGGAGGTGCTGAAGGCAGTAGCAGGGACCTACAGGGCCTCTCCCTTTTTCACCGTCTACATCAGCGCTGACTCTAAGAGTTCCAACAGCAATGTTATACAGGTACAGGGCTGGGGAAAGGTGGGGAGGACTTATGGACCATTTGCTGAGGCCAGACTCTCCTCCCTTCTGACCAGCAGGCTGGGAACACCCCCCTGCACAAGAGTCCAGGTTTAGGTGGGGGTGGGCTTACTCCTTTACCTTGCTATTGCAGGTGGACCAGTCTGGGCTCTTTCTACCTTCTCGAGATTACTACCTAAACAGGACCGCCAATGAGAAAGTAAGGAGCATCCTCAGAGTCCCCACCCCTGCCCCCTGTTGAGCTGGGCTGATCTCTGTTTACTTTTCCCAGGGTCAGGGTGGAGAACTAAGATGAGCCTGTCCTATCACCTAGTGAGCTGACTACCCTTCCTTCCTCCTTTTCCCCTTCATTCTTCCTTCCCTCCCTCCCTTCCTTCCTTCCTCCCTCCCTCCCTCCCTCCCTCCCTCCCTCCCTCCCTTCCTTCCTTCCTCTTCTTCTTCTTCCAGGAAAACATTTTATAGGCACCTACCGTGTGCCTGTGCAGTGGGGGAATTCTGAGATGTACCTTTCAGAGTTACAAGAAGCTTTCAGTGTAGATGGGATCATGGACCTAGATATCTGAGAATAAGACTCCAAGAGGGTTTTGGGGACTCAGGAGAGACTTGGGTAGCCAGAGAATGTTTCCTAATAAGATTACATTTGAGCCCCACCAGTGGCTTGGTGGTTGAGCGTAGACCTATGAACCAGGAGGTCATGGATTGATTCCCAGTCAGTCGGGGCACATGCCTGGGTTGCAGGCTCGATCCCATCATTGATGTTTCTCTCTCTCCCTCTTTGAAATCAATAAAAACATTTTTTTTAAAAAAAAAGAGCTTCAAAAATTAAAAAAAAAAAGATTACATTTGAGCCAGGCCCTGTAGAATATCTAGGGGTGAGTGATATTATGCTGGGTAAAAAGAACAGTTTAAACAAAAGTGTTGAAGAAGGAAAGGCTATGGTGTACTTGGACCATGGGAAGGGGTCCAGTTTGGCAAAATGAGAGCTCAAAGCAGAGGAGAGGCTGGGAAGGTGGACAGGGTCTGGTTCTGGAAGGGACCTGCAATGACACCCTAAGGAGTTTGTTTTTTTGTTTTTTGTTTTTTGTTTTAATATTTTATTGCTTTTTTACAGAGAGGAAGGGAGAGAGACCTTTGAGTTAGAAACATCGATGAGAGAGAAACATCGACCAGCTGCCTCCTGCACATCTCCTACTGGGGATGTGCCCGCAACCCAGGTACATGCCCTTGACCGGAATCGAACCCAGGACCTTTCAGTCCGCAGGCCGACGCTCTATCCACTGAGCCAAACCAGTTTCGGCGTAAGGAGTTTTTGTATAGGCCTCGGACCAGTGCATGCTCCAAGGGCAGAGAGGGAGTGACCCACTGAGCAGTGCTCTGGGAAGCCAGTTTGGCTGGGGTGTGAAAAGTAGATGCAAGAGAGGGAGCTTGAAGATCAGTTAAGAGTTGCTGCAGTACTTCAGGCTCTGAGTCTGTAAGGATCCAAATGGGGGAAGAGGCAGAGGGACTGTTAGGAAGGGAAGGATGCAGGAGACATAAGTCCCAATTGTGAATTGTTGGTGACTGGATGTTAGAAGAGAGGAGTGGGAGGAGGAAGAGATGAAGCAAGTTAAGGCTACCAACCAGAATGATGGCGGAATGGTGGGGTCCTTAGAAAGTCAAGGGTGCCTGTAGGAGAACCAGCTTAGGGCACACTGGGTCAGAGGAAACAATGTGATGTCACAGGAAAAGGGCAGACTCTGAACTCAGACCTTGAGTCCAGTCCCAGCTCTGCGTCTTGGTGAAGGTTGATCCAGCTCCCAGAGACTGTTCCTTCATCTGCAAAATGGGATCATAGCACCGACCTCATATGGTATTTTAGGGGGGGGGTGCAAGCTTATGCTCCTGCATGTGGCAGACACTCAGGGAGTGGGAGCTGCTGATGTTAGACGTGTGAGTGTGAGGGACCTGGCACCATCTGTATGGAGAGGTCAGCAGGCAGCTGTAAAAGCTGGTGCATTCCTGGAGAGAGGATGAGGCTGGAGGGAGCTGTGGGCTTGAGGGGCATCTCCTTGGAAACCTAGACAAAGGCTCTAGGAGAGAGGAGAGAAAGGGGGAGAACAGGAAAAGGAGAAAAGGAAAGCCTTTCTCAAGGGCAGTGGGAGGAAAAGAGCCAGAAGAGGAGGCTGCTATGGAGTAGGACAGCCAGGAGAGCCATTTATCCTTCTTTCATTCATTCTCAAACACTTACTGAGCATTCCTCAACCAGACCTCTTCTAGGCCTGTGGTGAACACGACATTGCCACTGCCCTCCAAGTGGGGGAGAAGACATGAAATAGCTGGGTACATCCTGTTTACAGTTGCCAGGACTGTTACAGAGAAGCATGGCATTCTGAGAGTGAGTGTAACAGGCAGCCAGCCTAGTCCTAGGGTCAGGGTAGACTGCAGGGAAGAGAGAGTGTTCTAGGCAAAGGGAATGGCTAGCTTATGTCCAGGCTCTGAGGTGGGAAGGAACATGGTCCATTGACAGACTAGAGAGGGGAGCAGGAAGGGAGAGGGGTCCGAGTCCTTCTGGACAGGTATATAGACTCATATATTACATGAACATTGTGGATCAAGTTTAGCATTTATCCCAAAAGAAATAGAGACTCAAGTGCAGGGAGTGGTGTGAACAGATGTGTGGTTTTGACATCATCGGAGTCAGAGGAGGAGAGAATTTGGAGAATGCAGGAGAGAACCACGTGGTCCAAGACTTGGAAGAGGGCAGGAGAAAGGCTCTTACCGTGTTGCCGGTAGTCATGGGTAGGGAGTCTCCTATGCCAGCATCTCAGGGAAGCTGCAGTGCAAAAGGTTCAGAGAGGATAAAAAGTTAGCAGTAAAGCAAGGTTTAGCAAAGTATCAAGGGTCAGTCTCAAGATGAAGGTAAGGAGGTAGAGAGAGGAAGGGGTAAGTCAGTGGGCAGGGTAGGGGTCAAGATCACTGGTTGAACTAACCATCCCCCTGAGGAGCTGGGATGACTGAGATTGATACTCACACCTCTGCCTCTGACACCAGCAGTGAGGAAAAGGAGAGGTGGGGACCATGAGAAAAGCTGAAGTTTAGAGAAAGGGATTCTAAAACTTTTCAGTAGAAGGGAAGAGAAGATGGCCTTTGGTGATTAAGGGAGCTCCGGGTAAGAGTGAAGAGTGGTCCCTGGGAGGGGGACCACAGGGAGTCAGTGCTAAACAGTGCTGAGAGGCAGCGGAAGAAGTGGTAAGCAGAGGTGGCGGCCAGAGCAGATTCTCTCAGCCTTGGGCAGGACCTGTTGCTGGGCTGTAAGGATGACTCGGGGTTTTGACAGGTGCTTACTGCCTACCTGGACTACATGGAAGAGCTGGGGATGCTGCTGGGTGGACAGCCAGCCTCCACACGGGAGCAGATGCGGAAGGTGCTGGAGCTGGAGATACAACTGGCCAACATCACAGTGCCCCAGGACCAGCGCCGGGACGAGGAGAAGATCTATCGCAAGATGAGCATCGCAGAGCTGCAGGTGAGGCCAGTGGGGAACAGGGACAACTGGGAGGCGCCAGCCCCTGGCACAGACCTCTCAGCTTCTCTTCAGGCCATCTTCCTCAGGCAGCCGATCCTTTTTTCATTTCCTTGCTTTTCTGAGCTTCCCAGCTGCATAGTTGCTATCCTGGAAAGAAAAGTGGTGACCATTGTAGGCCATCTTTCACTGGGCCATCCCTTGGTCCCTTTCTTGTTGCCTGGGCATGCATAGAGAGATCAAGTTAAAAACTTGTAACAACTTGTACAAGATATCCACGAAACAATCAGAAAGTGTGTGGAAGCATCTCCTAGGGGGCCCTCACTGTGCCAGGCATCAACCCTTCAGTTGTTGGATTATGGAGAAGTTGGGTAAGGGGGTTCTAGAGGAGAGGTCACCTATGTAGGGATGCTGGGTGGTATCAGAGGAATGGTGTTTTCAACTGTTATGAAAATCTGTGAATATCTGTGCCCCAGCTAAATACCACACGTGGTGGTTTTCCTTGAGTAAGTGACTGGGCTCTGAGATTGAGGGGCGCTCAGGCCTGGAAAAGGGTTTATTGAAGGAAGGGGCCACAAAGCAATTAATAGGTGTTACCTTGGTAATGGGAAGGACTCCCAGGCTCCAACATATCAGTGGGTGAAGGGTCTGCTGGGAGCCAGGTGAGCAAGCAGGGAGGCTTGAGATATATTTTGCTCCCAGGCCCTGGCACCCTCCATGGACTGGCTGGAGTTCCTGTCTTTCTTGCTGTCACCGCTGGAGCTGAGCGACTCTGAGCCTGTGGTGGTGTATGGGACGGATTATTTGCAACAGGTGTCAGAGCTCATCAACCACACGGAGCCAAGGTATGGGGGATGGGGCTCAGGGCTCCGTGCAGGTTCCGGGCAGGAACTGAGCATAGAGAAGTGGCATACCAGACACATAAGGATTTGACAAGGCCCTGGACATTCCAGCCAGCAAAAAACAATGTCTGTGATCTACTCCCCTTGGCCAGGGCTTCAGGGGGTCTACATGTGATCTGTATCCCTGCTCCAACCTGACTTCTGCAGGCGGGTGTATGGTCCCAGGGTGAGAGAGAGAGAGAGAGAGAGAGATTGATTCTGGGACAGCTCCCACCTACGCCTCTCAGCCAGCTGCCTGCACATCTGTGGAGCTGGTTTGGGGTAGAAATGGTAACCCACCTGCCTTTTTTTTATGTTCTGGTCTGGACGCCAGCACCCTGAACAATTACCTGATCTGGAACCTGGTGCAGAAGACAACCTCGAGCCTGGACCGCCGTTTTGAGTCTGCACAAGAGAAGCTGCTGCAGACCCTCTATGGCACCAAAAAGGTGGGCTCCCCCTCTCTGCTCCCACTTTCCCACCCGGCCTCGCCGAGGCTTCACGCTTACTGTGTCAGGCACCGGTTGCCTCATGGTGTGTTACGGAGCACAGGATTAGGAGTCAAGCGGGCTTGGGTTACAACCCCAACTCCTCCATTTTTTTAGCCAATGGGCCTTGGTCATGTCACCGAGCCTCTCTGAATCCCCATTCCCACGTCTGTAAAGCAGGAGTATGTGCAGGAAGGATATATGCCGTTCTTGGTTTCTAGGCGCCCTGTTCAGTGGGGAAAGTGGACATGTACAATTATTTAGAGGTGATAAGAGCTCACGTTGAATGGAAGACCTTCTTCATGTTATAGGACAGAGGTGGGGACAGCACATTATACCTGGGGGGATAGGTGGCATCGGGAAAGGCTACTCCTAAGAGGTGACATTTGAAGAGTGAGTTCTCCAAGAAAACAAGAGAGAAGGGCAGTCCAGGCAGCAGGAACAGGATGTGAAAATTCCCAGAGGCCAGAGGAAGCATGGTGGGCTTGCATGTGTTGTGGTGTGAGCTTGAGAACAGGGCAGCCGAGGCTGAGGGTGGGGAGATGGGCCTGGGGCCATCGTGACGGGACCCGAAGGTTGTGTGAAGAAGTCTGGCATTGATTTTTTTTTCAGGGATGGGGAACCATGGGATGGTTTTAAGGAGAAGAGTAACGCAGTTAGATTTATGTATTAGATCATCTTTCTGGCAGCCAAATGGAAGATGGAGGGGAGTGGCTGAGGAGAGGGGAGGAGAATGGAATTAGAGTTTCCAGTTAGGAGAACACTGCAATCTTCAGGCAAGAGATGAGAGTGTTGTAGTGCAGGGCAGTGGCAAAAGGGTGGTCGGGAGAGATGATTATGAAGTGGTTTGTAGAAACTGGTGATAAATTGAATGTGGGGGTAGGGAGAGGGAGGGAGCTGGTGCCTTCCAGGTTTCTGGCGTGGGGGACTGAGATGTGGAGCTGAGCAAAGAAACCTCTGGACCTCAATGGGCCTCTTAGGAATTTAAGAGGAGGAGAGCGCCAGGAACAGAGTGGGCAGCACACACGTTTCTCCCGAGGTTTCTCTGACGGGGTTGGCACACCTTGTGATAGCGCTCCTCATTGTCCATGGAGTCCAAGGAGAGATGGCACCCACACCCAGGCCTCCATTGTCTCGAGCTGAGAGGGGCTGGCCCCAGAGACAGCTTGGAGGACAGAGCCCTCTCTGGGAGGCCTGGCTCTTTGTCCCTTGCAGTCCTGCATACCAAGGTGGCAGACCTGCATCTCCAACACGGACGATGCCCTTGGCTTCGCTCTGGGCTCCCTCTTTGTGAAGGCCACATTTGACCGGCAAAGCAAGGAAATTGTGAGTTTTCAAGTTTCTTCCAACTCTACCCCTTGTTTTAGTTAAAATTCACTGTTCATATTTGTGAGTACATATAGGAAAAAATGGAAGGAAATTGGGACTATGGGATTATGATGGGCTCCTTTTGTCCTGTAAAGTTCTCTGCATTTCCCAAATTTCCTATAATGAGTTTATGCTACCTGTTTCATAAGAAAAAACAATTATTTACTTATTTTTCTCACCTGAGGATGTTTTTCATTGATTCGAGAGAGGAAGGAAGAGGGAGCGAGAGAAACATCAATGTGACAGAGAAACATCGACCGGTTGCCTCATGTAGGCGCCCCAACTGGGGGTCGAACCTGCAACCTGGGTGTGCCCTGACCAGAAATCGAACTCTTGACCCTTCGGTTCAAAGAATGAGGGTCTAACCACTGAACAACCGACCAGGGCTTTATTTATTTTTTTATTAAGAGATGATAATGAATGTGCTGAAAGTATTACCTACAAGAATGTTTATGGCAGTGTTGTTGACAATAAGAGAGAATAAAAACAGCTTAAATGTCTAATCATAGGAAAATGGAAAAATAAACTGTGGTTAGGATGGACTATGAGGCAGCTTTAAAACTGATGATATATTTTTAAGTGAAAAAGAAGTTGCTATATATATATATATATATATATATATATATATATGGAAAGACACTATAAGTTAGATAATCAAATGTTAAATGAAGTTGTATCTGAGTGAGGGATTATAAGTGGTCTATTTTCTTCTTCAAGTCTTCTCAGTTTTCTAAATTTTCTGCTATCAATGCTTTCCCTTTGTAATCAGATAAAAATCAATGCGCTACATTAAATTTAATATTAATTCAATTGAATTTTCAGTTAAAATTTTTGATTAATTAGAACAAAAGACACCCGCAATCCCAGGACCTTCACAAAGCATGTTTCCTTCTCATCTTCCCCAGATGCTCAGCCTTAGTTCAGGGATTTGGGCACTCCCACATGCTCCCCTGGAAGGACAGGGCTGGGACACCAGGTGGACGGGGGAGAAAGGACTCATTAATGCGAGTGGGGGCCAGACTTGTGTCCCTTCCCCCCCAGGCAGAGGGGATGATTAGCGAGATCCGAGATGCCTTTGAGGAGGGCCTGGGACAGCTGGTTTGGATGGATGAGAAGACCCGCCAGGCAGCCAAAGAGAAAGTAAGCTGTGGCCAGGGTTGGGGCGCCATCTTGAGGTGGGGATGGAGGATACAGTTTTATGGGAGACTGGGTAAGGAAACCCGTCACCTGGTCTCTTCAGGCAGATGCCATCTATGATATGATCGGCTTCCCGGACTTCATCCTGGAGCCTAAAGAGCTGGATGATGTTTATGATGGGGTGAGTACCTCTGCTCATCAGTTTTGAACTTCAGCCCCATGGAGGGGCACTATTCCCTGGGCTCACTAGGAGCTCAAGCACTAGGAGGGAAAGAGGTGCTGGTTAGTTCCTTTCAGAGGCAATGCAGGCAACCTACATTGCTCAGGTGCCGGCTCTGTGCTAGGCTGCAGGCCACACGTTAGTAGAAGGCAGTGTGAACCAGCAGGGATTTGCAGTCAAACCTGACTCAAATCCTGTTTCTACCTCTATCTGTGTAACCTTGGACAAGTTATATAACCTCTCTGTCTCTCTGAGCCTCAGTTTCTTCACCTGTAAAATGGGGGTCCTATAAGTACCTACCTGGTAGGGTTCTTGTGAGAACAAAAGGAGGGAGTATGTGAAAAAAAAAAAGCAATGTTCATAAGTGCTCTTCAAGTCTTGGTGTTTATTACTTACTAGATACTTTATGGTTGAAGGAACTAAGGCTCAGAGAGTTGCTAATTAGTAGCCAAGCTGGAACTTTTATCTGCTCCAACATGTTCTCTTGCTTGCTTTCTCCTTCCCACCATTCCGATAGTATGAAGTCTCTGAAGATTCCTTCTTCCAGAACATGTTGAATTTGTACAACTTCACTGCCAAAGTGATGGCTGACCAGCTCCGAAAGCCTCCTGGCCGGGAACAGTGAGAATGGAGGGCGGCAGACAGTTGGGGCAGCAAGAGAAGCAGGGGAGGTTTCCAGGGCTTGGGGGGATGGGCAAGACTGATCCAAACCAGTGACACCAGGTCCTTGCTGGAGGTCGGTCCAGGCTGCTGGGCTGGGAGCAGCGTCGGGAGAGTCAGGAGACTAAGCTCTGCCTCTCCGCCCCCAGGTGGAGCATGACCCCCCAGACAGTGAATGCCTACTACCTTCCAACCAAGAATGAAATTGTCTTCCCTGCTGGCATCCTGCAGGCCCCCTTCTACGCCCGCAACCACCCCAAGTGTGTCTGAGGCAGGAGGGGCTGGGTGTTGGAGCCTGGGCCTCTGGGTGGGCTGGGAGCGGGGCTGGAGGTGGGATCCAGAAATCCCCCTACCATCTCCTCACTCAGCATTCCTCACCTGCCAGGGCCCTGAACTTTGGTGGCATCGGTGTGGTGATGGGCCACGAGTTGACACATGCCTTTGATGACCAAGGTAGAGGCCCATGGAGTTGTTCCCTTCAGCCTAGAATTCCCAGTGGCTCCTGCAAGGCCTTGAGATGTTGGGAGCAGGTCGAATGAACCCTGGAGGGGGGAGCTCCTGACCCCAAGGGTTGAGCTCTGGTCCCAGTGGGGTGCAAAGGTTCATTCTCCTCAGGGCGTGAGTATGACAAGGAAGGGAACCTGCGGCCATGGTGGCAGAATGAGTCGCTGGCAGCCTTCCAGAACCACACGGCCTGCATGGAGGAGCAGTACAGCCAGTACCGGGTCAATGGGGAGAAGCTCAACGGCCGCCAGACGCTGGGGGAGAACATTGCTGATAACGGAGGGCTTAAGGCTGCCTACAACGTGAGTGCCTGGCCAGCCCTCCAGTGGCTGAGGCCCACCCTGGAGGGAAAAGAGCCCGGGGGAGCCGGGGGCGGGGGGGGGGGGGCCCTGGTGGCCTTACCGCTCCTGTGTCCAACCCTAGGCTTACAAGGCGTGGCTGAGAAAGCATGGGGAGGAGAAGCAGCTGCCAGCTGTGGGGCTCACCAACCACCAGCTCTTCTTTGTGGGATTTGCCCAGGTATTGCCCTCCTGGGAGGCCTGGGGTCTGCCCCTCTCCCACTTCTTCCTGGGTGTGTCTTTAGAAGTCTGGGGCATGTGGGAAGTGGGGCCAAAGTTGGGGGGTGGAAGGTGGTCTGGGGAGGCCACCCAAGCCTGTGAGGAAGCCTGGGGAGAGAGGATTCTTCAGGAGGCTTTTGCAGATCTCAGAGGGCAGGGCCGGGCCTGCTTGAGGGGGCGGGGTGGGCAGCAGGACTGATCCTCACCATGTACTGGGAGGTGGCAGTGGAGGAGGAAACTAAAGCCCGGGTACAGAGTGGCTCATCCAGGGCTACCCAGGAATAAAGTAAGTGGCAGAGTGCGACTCAGGCAGGGTGTCCTCGAGGCACTTTGCACGACAGCAGGCAGCCTCTGGGGGTGGGCTTCTTCCCCTCAGATGCAGCAACCCCATTTCCAGGACAGCTTTGAAGGGCCGTCAAGGAATTGGGGAGAGAGGGTGCAGTCCCCTCCCTTACTGCTGATAGCCAGGGGTTGGAGCTGATGCTGGCTGAGCCCCCGCCTGTGTTCCTGAGGCCTCCTGAGCTGAGGGGCAGTGCAGTGGTGGTTTGTGTCCCTGGATGGCTCTGCTGCAGCCCAGTCTGTGACCTTGCCCACATTAGACACCATATGTCCCCGTGTCTGTCCTGGCCCGCAGGTGTGGTGCTCGGTCCGCACACCCGAGAGCTCTCACGAGGGGCTGGTGACCGACCCCCACAGCCCTGCCCGCTTCCGTGTGCTGGGCACTCTCTCCAACTCCCGTGACTTCCTGCGGCACTTCGGCTGCCCTGTCGGCTCCCCCATGAACCCAGGGCAGCTGTGTGAAGTGTGGTAGACCTGGGTCCGGGGAGAAATGGCCAGCTGTTGCTAGGGCCTGGGGCAGCTCGCCCAGCAAGGCTGTTTGCTCTGGAGTTTGGAGAAGGCACATGCCAGCTAGACTGGGTCTAGCCCCTCCACACCACAGGTGACATAGGTCCCAGTCCCTGCTCAGCCACCACATTGTGCCTCTGCTTCGGGGGTGCCCCTGCCTCTAGCAGAGCCCCCACCACTCACTGTGACATCCTTCCATGTCACCTTGCCTGAAGGAGGCCTGGGTGGGGGGTGGGGGGGGGGCACCAGCTCCCCCAGGAAGGAGCCGGCCTTTCTAGCCCCAAGCTCCCTTGGCTTGATGGCCATGGGGCCTGCTGTGCTTCTTCTGGAGGCCACACAATGCTCACTTGGGAGTGGACTTAGCTCCTTTAGCACCCCCCTCAGGGGCCGCCCTCCACCTCATGCTCCTCATACTGCTGCTTCCCACACTGCTGCCAACCCTCACTGACAGACCAACTGTGCTTGGCTCTTAGTGGAAGCCCGAGGGCCTCTGCAAGCCTCCCTGCTGCCTCCTGGTTCCCCTGGGCTCAGAGTGGACGTGTGTATGTGTAGGGGATGCTAGTTCCTGTGTCTTGGGGCACAACTCTTAGGACCAAGCCGGAAAGCAGATAGAACAGGGAGAGGGAAGGACAGAGTTTATTTTTACAGGGAAAAGGGTGGGGAGGGTGTGGTCTTGGCCCTGTAGGACCCTGTGCCAATAAATAGACACGCATCAGTCAGCCTGTCTCTTCCTTTGGTCCTGTTTTCATTTATTCATTTACTCATTCCACCAATGTTTATTGAGCAACTACTATATGCCAGGTACTCTTGTGGACACTCAATAACTCACTCACCAGAAACAGGGGACTGACATTCGAAGCCCCAAGAAGATAGAGAAAGAGAGGTGGGATGGAAGAATGGGATGAAGCTAAATCTGGTTGGGCAGAGTACATCCTCTGCTCTCTGGTGGCCATATCGCCATTGCCTGCTGTTGCACAGTTCAAAGGCTTTGCCACTGCCCTCCCCTGGTGCGTGCAACTGGGCCTGACACTGAGTTCAGGGTAACTACGGCACTAGGGTCAGCTTGAAAAGTGGGTGGCACTCACCTTGCAGTGGAGGGAAGTATGCCATTCCCTGGAGCTCGGAGTACCAGCCACTGCTTGCAGCTGAAAAGGCATGCATTTCCCTAGTACCTCAAAGGCTCAGTGCTCCTGAGAGTCACCTACATACACTCATCAGGGCCTAGCAAGTGCCAGGCACAGAGATGGTGGATACAGCTGTCACCCTCCAGAGTAAGGGAGGGAAAGAAGCATTTATTGAAAACCTCTTGCATTCCAGGCACCTCTCACTCAGTCATTTATTAGTTTATACATCCACAGATGTATTTTAAAAAATGTATCAGTTACCAACAATGTTCCAGTCCCTGGTGCTGCAGAGATGAATAAGATGGTTCCTTCTCTCAAGCGACTCTCCACTTGGCACTTTCACCTTCATGAGCTCATCTAATCCTCATAGCAACATTTTTTGTTGTTGTTGATTCTCATCTGAGGATATGTTTCCATTGATTTTTAGAGAGAGTAGAAAGGACGGGGAGAGACAGAGAGAGAAACATAGATGTGAGAGAGACACATCGATTGCCTTCTGCATGCCCCAACCAGGGCTGGGGATCAAGCCTGCAACCAAGGTATGTGCCTTTGACCAGAATTGAACCAGGGACCCTTCAGTCCGAGGACCGATGCTCTATCCACTGGGCCAAATCAGCCAGGGTGCAACATATTTTATAAGTCCTCCAGTTTCCATTTTACAGATATAACCCTAACCACTTCACTGAATTCAAAGAGACCTGATTGAAATCAGCTTTAATAGCTGAATGAACTTGAGCCTGTTCCTTAACCTCTATGAGCCTCAGTTTCTTTACCTGTAAAATGAGAACTAGAGCAAAACTGTGGAAAGAGTCCAGTCTCAATTCTCTTTAAAATTCAGTGTTCTGCCCTGGCTGGCGTTGCCAAAAGGTTGCAGGTTCAGTTCCTGGTCAGGGCACGTGCCCAGGTTGCAGGTTCAATCCCCATTGGGGGTGAATGCAAGGTTCTCACATCGATATTTCTCTCGTTCTCTCTAAAAAGAAATCAATAAAAGCATGTCCTCAGGTAAGAATTAAAAAAATAAAATTAAAATTCAGTGTTCCCCAAGATGGGGGTAGGTTTGGTTGAGTTTGGAAGGTTAAGAGCGAAACTTTGCCAGGGATTGGTGCTGGGGTCCCTGGTGATGGCACCAGCATGTGCCCCACAGTTTGTCTCCTGTGCCAGCACCAGGCTGTCCCTATAAAGAGCTATATTTGGGCCCCTGTCAAGTTACCTGAAGTGCTGGCTGCTCACCAAGGAAAGGAAATAGCTGGCTACTCAGAAAGGAGCAAAGCGGCTTTGGGACTCTAAGACCAAGGGAAGGCACAGCTTGAGCCACTGCCAACATGACTCTAGGAGGGACAGCAAAATGTATCAGAAAGAGGAGGGCCATCACATCTGGAAACCTGGCTCTGCCTCCAGCTGTTACCCCCTAAATGTGTGACACTAGGCATGGCTCATCTCCTCTTCAGGGCCCAGTATCCTTAGCAGTCTGTAAAATAAGTAGTGATTTGGATGAGATGATGTCTGAGGATCCGTTCAGCTTTAATGTTTTAAAAAGGAATTCATGGCCCTAGCCAGTTTGGCTCAGTGGACAGAGTTTGATTCCAGGTTTGATTCCGGTCAAGGCATGTACCTCCATGCAGGTTTGATCCCTGGCACATGCCAGGAGACAATCAATCAATGTGTCTCTCTCACATCGATGTTTCTCTCTCTTTGTCTCTCCCCCTCCCTCCCACTCTCTCTAAAAAAAAAGTCAATGGAAAAATATCTTTGGGTGAGGATTAACAACAAAAACAACAATAACAAAAAAGGAATTCATTGCCCTAACCGGTTTGGCTCAGTGGACTGAAGGGTCCCAGGTTCGATTCCGGTCAAGGGCATGTACCTTGGTTGCGGGCATATCCCCAGTAAGGGGTGTGCAGGAGGCAGCTGATTGATGTTTCTCTCTCATCGATGTTTCTAACTCTCTGTCCCTCTCCCCTCCTCTCTGTAAAAAATCAATAAAATATATTTAAAAAAAAAAAAGGAATTCATGGGCTTAGCAAATTCCGGAACCCAAAGAAATACTAAGAAATGATTTCTGAAGTTTGGATGTTATATAGAGGATGAGATTTATATGTCAGAGAGCATAATGAGTAAGGAGAGAGGCTTGGCAGCATAAAGCCTTGCCTTGACATCTGATTTCAGAAGCCAACTTAGAATGCTGACCAGCTGACCTCTGTGACCAGCTGACCTCTGTGACGTAGAAATTCCATATCTGCAAAAAGGTAAAAGTGTCTAATAATAATAATAATAATAAGTAGCAGCTTTCATTTACTGAGTCCCTATTTTGTTTAAGCCTATACTAAATACTTTAAAAACACCATCTCACGAAATTCCCACAATCATTTATAAGGTGGTTTTATCATCTCTGTTTTACAAGGAAGAAACTAAGGGAAAAGATTATATAACTTCTGCCTGGCTGGTGTGGCTCAGTGGTTGAGCACCAACCTATGAACCAGGAGGTCATGGTTCAATTCCTGGTCAGGGCACATGCCTGGGTTGCGGGCTCCCAGTAGGAGGCAGCTGATCAATGATTCTCTCTCATCATTGAGGTTTCTCTCTTTCCCTTCCTCTCTGAAATAAAAATATTTTAAAAAAGATTACATAACTTCCAATGTCAGATAAGTCAGGCTGCATTAAAATAATATTTGGAACTCAAATGCTGTTAATCACCACCATTTAGTCTTCTAAGTCATGACAGTTTAGACTCAAGCACAGACAACTGTTCTCCGGGCAATTTCATCATACTTCTGTGTGAGATCACCACCAGCAGGTACATTTCCATGCTACCCAGCTCCCTGTGGCCAGGCACATGTGACAAGTAGGCAGCTGCAGGAAACTTAGGCACATGTTGAGCTGAAATTAAGCCAGGTAGCACCTGTTTGTTGAGCACTCTGCAGGTGCTTGGTTCCAGAGGAAGGCAAGGTGAACAGGTGACAGACCTTCACCCTCAGTAGCCCTGCCATGCTAAACATGCATCTGTGATATGCTCTGGTGTGTTAAGGCAGAAAGGGGATTAAAGGATGGTGCTCCTGAGTGGACACATGAGAGCAATTATTGGTAAGGGCTGGATCATAATCTACACTGTCCCATTAGGAAGTATGATTAGTTCCCATACACAACTAGGTAACATGTCAAATAATATGATTATACACTTGGAAGCATGCTGGAAATGTCAGGCTGGAGGAGAGTCCCTTATAAAATAAGCAGTTTCAGCCCTGGCCAGTGTTTCTCGGTGGTAGATCATTGGCCCACACACCAAAGGGTTGTGGGTTCGATTCCCGGTCAATGGCATGTACCTGGGTTGCAGGTTTGATCCCAGGCCCTAGTCAGGGCATGTGCAGGAGGCAACCAATTGATGTGTCTCTCACATTGATGCTTTTCTTTCTCTCTCTCTCCTTTCCTTCTACTCTCTCTAAATATTAATGGAAAATATATCCTTGGGTGAAAAAAATAAAAGAGAGAGTTTCAGTGGGTCTATCATGACTCACAAAGGAGAATCTGGACAGTTTTTCAATGCCCCACTCTGGCTCCAAAGAGAGCCCCAGGCCCTTATTGTATATAAAGATGACATTCAAGAAATATTTGTCAGCCCTAACTGGTTTGGCTCAGTGGATAGAGGATTGGCCTGCAGACTCAAGGGTCCCAGGTTCAATTCGGGTCAAGGGCATGTACCTTGGTTGCCTTGGTTGCGGGCACATACCCAGTAGGGAGTGTGCAGGAGGCAGCTGATCGATGTTTCTCTCTCATCGATATTTCTAACTCTCTATCCCTCTCCCTTCCTCTCTGTAAAAAATCAATAAAATATATGTTAAAAAAAAATATTTGTCAGCCTGGCTTGTGTGGCTCAGTGGTTGAGCATCAACCTATAACTCAGAAGGTCACGGTTCCATTTCTGGGCAGGGCACATGCCTGTGTTGCAGACTTGATCCCCAGTAGAGGGGGTGCAAGAGGCAGCCAATCAATGATTCTCTCTGATCATTAATGTTTCTATCTCTTTCCCTCTCCCTTCCTCTCTGAAATCAATCAAAATATATATATATATATATATTTTTAAATATATTTTATTGATTTTTTACAGAGAGGAAGGGAGAGAGATAGAGAGTTAGAAACATCGATGAGAGAGAAACATCGATCAGCTGCCTCCTGCACACTCCCCACCGGGGATGTGCCCGCAACTAAGGTACATGCCCTTGACCGGAATCGAACCTGGGACCTTTCAGTCCGCAGGCCGACACTCTATCCACTGAGCCAAACCAGTTTCGGCCAAAATATATATATTTTTTAAAGAAATATTTGTCAAGGCCTACCATAAGCCAAGTATTAGGTTGGGTGCTATGGGCACAAAGATGGAGAGGACACAGTTCCTGTTCTCCGAGAGCGCAGAGTCTAGGGAAGGCGAGAAATATGTATCAAGCATGGTGGAAGTACAGGGAAGAAATGAGTCACTTGAAGGGTAGAACAGGAAGTGTCCTGGACAGGTGACATTGAGCTGGAGTGCGGAAGATGGGAGAAATTTGCTAGCTGAAAACAGCGAAGGGCACTCCATACACAAGGATAAGGCCAACCAGCTTGAAGGGCAGGGCATGTTTAGAAATGGTGTCTTGTTTAGGATGATCAGAAGGGGTACACGAAATAGGCATAATGAGAGGTTGAGAGTCTGGAGAAGAGAAGTTATAACAGCAGGTATGAAAAGAGGGCATTGTAACATCTGCTATCCTGGGGATTAACAGTAACAAGGGCCACAGTGCAATGTGACTCTTTGAAAAATATCACACAAAGTAAGTAGCAACCTAGTGGAAACAGTGCAGTGCCATGTCCTGCCAAGAGCACTTCTGGTGCTGTGTTATTTAAGTGATGCTTCGGCTTGAATGGCTTTCAGATGAACAGAGACATCCATAAGATGCATAGCTCTACATCTCAGGCCATGAGTTTGGCGGCAGCACGGAAGGCTGGTGGATGCAATTTGAAGGAAGGCGGTAGGAAGACAGGTGATGGGCTGGCCCTGTTTGGAGAGCAATTTGGCCACAAGGCTGGGAGTTTGGCCAAATGGTAGGAAGGAGTGCTTCTGGGAGGGCAATCTGACTGAAATGAAGTTGAGGCGGAATGTCAATGTTATCACAGGGCCTTGAAATAACTTCCATTTACCGCAGTCCTGTAGATTCCAGGTAGGTGGAGAATGACTACTGCCTGCTTTCCAGTTGTCAGGTACCTAGCCAAGCACTTTATATACATTGTCTTATTTCATTCTCATAACAACTTATGAGGGAGGTACTTCATTACCCACAGTTCACAGAGGCAGAAACCAGGCTGAGAGAGGTTAGAAAACTTGTCCAATGGTCACAACTAGTGAAGGGCAGAATTTGGTTTTAAACGCCAGGCCTGCTGCTCTTGGAAGCTTCTGTTCTCCCCACCCCCAACTTTTTATTCTGAAACATTTCAAACCTACCAAAAAGCTGAAACATAGTATACAACAGACATTCACATACTCTTCATCTGGAGTCATCTGTTAACAGTCTGTGTCTTATGCCACCTCGCCCCATCTCCTCGAAGATGCGATATAACTGGTATCAAAGACAAAATCTGTGCTCTGATACAAGGAAGTCATGGAAAAATGAGAGATTTAGGAGAAATACCTTTACAGATGACTGAAGAAAGCAGGAGCATATATGGACATCTTGAAGTCAGAGACAGTATAGGCAGAACAGCTATAGTCTACTCAAGGTCTGTCAGGAGTCATCCCCAGAATCCTAGCATTGAGTGGAAAAAAAGCAACAAGTTTTAAAATGGGCTTCAGACCATTACACCTATATTTATACAAATATTTAGCCAACATTCATTCAGTGCTAACCACACTGTGCTAGTGTTGTTTTTTGTTTTTTTACTTTTTAAAATTGATTTCAGAGAGGGAGATAGAAACATCAATGAAGAGAGGGAATCATTGGTCGGCTGCCTCCTGCACGCCCCCTACTGGGATTTGTTAACATAAAAACCATTGAAACCTGTAAAGAATTTTTGAGTTTATTTGAGCCAAACTGTCGACATATGCCGGGAAGCAGAACCTCAACGAATTGAGGCCGTAACTGCCCACCATAACTGTTTTTAGTTAAAGTTTAATTTCAGACCATCCTTTGTGGTTACTTTAGGTCTCTGAGTTTGCAAGACTGCCATGCAGGCCTCCCCTGAGCTTGTCAGGTCAGCATGTGGCCCCTTTCGTCCACAGATTCAAGCTCCCAACCCAGGCATGTGCCCTGACCAGAATCGAACTGTGACCTCCTGGTTCATAGGTCAACACTCAACCACTGAACCACTGTTCGCTGGGCTGTTTTTGATTTTTTAAATAAACTTTCTGTGTTCTTTTATACTTCAGAACCCATACAATGACTTTAGGCCAAATGGTGAGTGTTCTCACCAGATGAAGGGGAGAGAATTACTTCCTCTTTTCTCACCTAGAGACATACACATAGCCCGAACTGAAGAAGAAACTTTGAGGTTTGCCTGCAAGTCAGGAGCTTGGAAGACTGAGCAATCCCAATTCGACTCCTTACCATATATGATTTCCTCTGTAAAATGGACACAACCCTACCAAACTCAAAAGGCTGAGACAGTAGGTGATACTTAAAATCAGTCATGTCGGTGTCCGTCCTACCTGAGGAAGACCAAGACACACTGAGGGCAAAGACCCTGCCTTGCTCCGTTTTTAGCCCGACACAGCACCGGGGCATAATACTTACTCTCCCTGGCTCCACAGGTAGATTTCAGATGGCAGCCACATTCTCATGGTAATATTAGAGCACACTCCTTCAACTGGGGGAGCGGGGAGGGAACGTAATAAGGTTCATACTCCACAGTGGAGTAAGGCTGCACATAGATTACACAAACTTCACACAGACGGCAATCAAGCGTCCCGGCTTTCGAGAATTTCGTCCGTTTGTCCCACCACGACAGCCAACTGGGGTGTCACTGTGGGTTACTATTCGCAGCGCCAAGAGGAAAGCGATGGGCGGTCTCCAGGCGCACAGCCGGCTCACCTCCCACCGCAGTGAGCACGCCCGAATCGCACACCGCAGTCTCGTGGCATTCAGGAAACTCCCTGGCCCAGCTTTGCGCCCGTGCCGCGCGGGCAGCTGGGAACTGTAGTTTTCCTGCAGCTTCCGACCCAGGCCGAGGCGTCGTTTCCGGTCCCAGGCGGGCTCCGGAGAGGGAGGGCGGGGCGCCCTGGGCGACGCGCGAGGCTCCCTGGGAAACGGGGCGGGGCGAGCGGGGTGCGCGCGCAGCTGGCCGGCAGTGGCAGTGGAGATGGAGGAGGGCGGCCGGGACAAGACATCGGTACAGCCCCAACAGCCCCCATCGACGACCCCGGGTGGCGCGGAGGAGAAGCCGGGCGGCAAGGAGCGGCAGGATGCCGGGGACAAGGACAAAGAGCAGGAGCTGGTGAGGCGTGGCTCCGGGACCTGGTGCGGGCTGAGTCACGGCGGCTCCGTAGGCCTCGGGCCAGACTCCCAACGGCCCCGCCGTCCCCGGGAGAGGGCGGATGGGGTACCCCCCGGGCCCCCGGCACCCTGCTTCTCTGCCCCGCATCCACAATTCCGCGCTGTTACACCTGCCGCCCTCACTAGCCCTCATCACCGCCTCGTGAGGTGGTCCGAGGTGGATGGATCATTGTCATCCCATGTTTTAAAGGGGCATTCCAGCGGGACTGGTCCAGAAGCCAGGCTGCCTGCCCAACAGGGCTCCCCCTTCCGCGGCCTTTCCTCGCCCACCTGATCTCTCCTGAAGAGGCAGGCTTACTGGCCACCTGCCCCAGGGGGACGGCGGGGAGGATGTGTGTGGGATTCCTTCTCTTGATGAGCTTCTTCCTCCAACCCTCCAGTCTGAGGAGGACAAACAGCTTCAGGATGAACTGGAGATGCTCGTGGAACGGCTGGGGGTGAGTCACGATATGGTAACATGAGCAGAGCGGGTGGGTATTTGCAGCTTTCCCACCTGCTTGCTGTACTCCATTCTGAGGCAACACGATGTGAGGCATAGGGAAAGGTGGACCGTGTTAGGATCAGTGTTATGATGATGTTGTGAGGGAGGAATGTAACAAAAGACGGTTGAAGCATTTTGTCGCTTTCTCTTGGGGAGAAGCAGTGCGTGAACTTCTCACCCAGGATCATTTGTTTTTGTGCCAGGCGGTGTGCAGGTGGTTGGGGAATTGCAGATGAATACAGGCAGTGATTTTCCCAGGGGAGCCGTTAAACACATGCACTGTGACTTCAGGGACGTGCCTCTTGTTTTTTTTGTCTGCCCCTCACATCTCCTGATCAGGAGAAGGACACATCCTTGTACCGGCCAGCCCTGGAGGAGCTGCGGAGACAGATTCGTTCTTCTACAACTTCCATGACCTCGGTGCCCAAGCCTCTCAAGTTCCTGCGCCCACACTATGGCAAGCTGAAGGAAATCTATGAGAACATGGCCCCCGGGGAGAATAAGGTAAAACCGTTTCAGAGGCTGGTGGAGGCCTAGTGTAGGAACTCCTTTTCACGAGGAACCATGGCGCTCATGGAAGTCACAGGCAACCTGCTAGACCTGAGACCTGAGCTATCATAGTCAAAATACATAAGCGCTGATAGAAGGATTGCCTTCTCAGAAGATACTGTTCCTGTCATTTATGTCGGACATTGGGATTTTATTATCATGGCCTATTTTACTTGTTTAACCTTAATTTTTTCCTTTCCTTATAGCCCATGTACATTCATTTGTTTTATCTTTAAAATAACACCTACCTAGTTCAGTCACTTCTTTGCTTGTTGTAATAACCCTGAACTAGGAAGTCTTCAGCTCTCACCTGAATTACTGCAGCAGCCTCCTAACTGGCCTTCTTCTTTGTATTTTTTACTTCCTGCACGGTTTGTCTTTCATACAACAGTCATAGTTGTCTTTCTAGATTGTGAGTCTTTTCTGCTTAAAAACTTTTAGTAGTTTATTATTGTGATTAGAATAAAATTGAGTCCATCTTTCTCCACTCCTTCCTTATCACCATCCTTCAGCCATGTTTGTTTAAAAGGGAAATAGGGTCCTAGTCAGGTGGCTTAGTTGGTTGGTTCCATATACCAAAAGGTGTGGGTTTAATCCCCGGTCGGGTGTGATCTGTGTTTCACATCATTTTTCTCTCTCTCTAAATATCCATAAAAACATATCCTTGGGTGAGGATTAAACAAATAAAAGGGAGATATCAGTACTAACCCTGGAGTTACCGTGAGGCTTAACTTAGAAATTAACGTGTAAATTTCTAGAGGTTGGTGCATAGTTAATACTTAATTTTGGGGATAGTGACAAGTGATCTTGATTCCATAGTGTGATACTCCCCTTACCCTGGATTTAACTTTAAAGACTGGTTTCTTTAAAGCGTTTTGCTGCTGATATCATCTCTGTTTTGGCGATGACCATGAGTGGGGAGCGTGAGTGCCTCAAATATCGGCTAGTGGGCTCCCAGGAGGAATTGGCATCATGGGGTCATGAGTATGTCAGGTAAGACCTTTTGGGACTCTGAAGGGGGTTCTGAGACATAATTCTGAGTTCGGTCTTAGAGTATTATCTGTCTTGGAGTACCAGTGTATTGAGTTTCCCAGACACTAAATTCCTTGACCCACAGGGAAGTGCTTCCTGTGAAGCTGTGTCCCCTAATGGTGTGGGTCTATCCATTAGGCATCTAGCAGGAGAAGTGGCCAAGGAGTGGCAGGAGCTGGATGATGCGGAGAAAACACAGCGGGAGCCACTGCTGACCCTGGTGAAGGAGATTGTCCCATACAACATGGCCCACAACGCAGAGCATGAGGCCTGCGACCTGCTCATGGAAATTGAGCAGGTGGATATGCTGGAGAAGGACATTGATGAGAATGCATATGCAAAGGTCTGCCTCTATCTCACCAGGTGAGCAAGTGTGGTAGGGAATGATGGCAGGCCTACTGTCCCAGCACTTTTCTCTCAACTGTGCCTCCTCTGCTTTCTCAGAGCATTTGCATCAAAGGTAGTGTCAAACTGTAGTTAATTTATTGATGTCTGTAAACTACTTGAGGATAGAAACATCATGTCTCCTTAGTAGTCCCGGCTTCTGGCATAGTGCCTGGATAACAAATATCTAGTATTTAGTATTTATTTTGGATAAGTGAAGTAAATGGGGTAAGTGTATGTCTGAAACTTCTGATTCCTTTATTATTTTTACCTCTGTAGCTGTGTGAATTATGTGCCTGAGCCTGAGAACTCTGCCCTACTGCGCTGTGCCTTGGGTGTGTTCCGAAAGTTCAGTCGCTTCCCTGAAGCTCTCAGATTGGCATTGATGCTCAATGACATGGAACTGGTAGAAGACATCTTCACCTCCTGCAAGGATGTGTATGTAGGGAAGAAGTCTGCAGAGGAAGAGATAAGCTCATGGGTGGGAGCTTGTAGTTTCTGGTTAGAGCTTGAGGGGCTGTTCTGTGTCCTTAGTGGGTAGGGGCTGAGCAGTTGTGATGGCTCTCTCCCACAGGGTCGTGCAGAAGCAGATGGCATTCATGCTGGGCCGGCATGGGGTGTTTCTGGAGCTGAGTGAAGATGTGGAGGAGTATGAGGACCTGACTGAGATCATGTCCAATGTGCAGCTCAATAGCAACTTCTTGGCATTAGCTCGGGAGGTGAGACTGCCCTTTTCTATCAAAGCTTTCTTGGTTGTGATTCTACCTGACTGTAACTGACTGGACTCCTTGGTTAGAATTTCCATTGAGTGGGATATCAGAAGGGACAGCTAAGGGAGGACTCGGGGAGCAGTTGTGACCCTCTGACTTCTCTTCAGCTGGATATCATGGAGCCCAAGGTGCCTGATGACATCTATAAAACCCACCTGGAGAACAATAGTGAGTAGCTATCTGCATGTGTGTGGGGATTGGAGGATTATTAATTATGCCCCTTGTACTGGGAGTGATAGGTTGGCCAAACACATTTATCCTGTAGAACTCAGAATCCCACATACCTTTCCTCCAGGTCACTGGTGGGAGCAAAGATAGAGGATCCTAGGGGGCCAGCTCAGAACCAGCTGCCATGTTTCTTTCTTGCCCTACTCTAAACCAACCTTTCTTTCCTCTCCCTCCTGTGCAGGGTTTGGGGGCAGTGGCTCTCAAGTGGATTCTGCCCGCATGAACCTGGCCTCTTCTTTTGTGAATGGCTTCGTGAATGCAGCCTTTGGCCAGGATAAGCTGCTGACTGATGATGGCAACAAATGGCTTTACAAGAACAAGGACCATGGTATAATTCTGTTTCTACTTTATCTTTGTGTTGCTTTGGTCATACTTGCCCTCCTAGTTTCATCTGTTACCTGACAAGTGTTCCCCAGTGCAGTTCCTGGGAGAGCTCTTTATAACAGTTTTCTAAGTGTAAGACCATTTTAAGACAGATTTGTTTCTTGGTATAGGAATGTTGAGTGCAGCTGCGTCCCTTGGCATGATTCTGCTGTGGGATGTGGATGGTGGTCTCACCCAGATTGACAAGTACCTGTACTCTTCTGAGGATTACATCAAGGTTGGTCTGGGCATAGCCCACTAATGGGGACATCCCCCTTCCCTGTTCTAGGGCCCACAGGGCCTCCCTTTCACTGGTAAGTTATCTGGTTTTTAACCCCAGTTTAGGCAGGTGCTGCTCTGAGGCCTGTGTTGCGTCTTTGTGATAAGGAAGGTAGAGTAGTCTGAGTGAAGAATCTCTTTGCATTTTTGCAGTCCGGAGCCCTCCTGGCCTGTGGCATTGTGAACTCTGCGGTCCGGAATGAGTGTGACCCTGCTCTGGCACTGCTCTCAGACTATGTTCTCCACAACAGCAACACTATGAGACTTGGTTCTATCTTTGGGTAAGGCTTATTGCTTCCCTTTCTGGTAGTGCTCATCCCGAAATCTCTGTGAAAAAGAGAATTGGCCCTTTTCACCTTTGTATTGCCAAGAACTACCATTATGCCTGTTGAGTACTTGGCTCTTTGTGACTGTTGAAATGATGAATGACCATTTCTCTTTTTGTTCTTCCTTGGATGTGTGTTGGGGACTGCATCTCCCTGGCTTTTGCAGGCTAGGCTTGGCCTATGCTGG